CAAAATCTGGTTGCTTAAATGAAGTGTGTCCTTTAATTCACTGGAAGCTCAATTCTGTGTGCTCTCCGTTGCACGTATCTTTTACCAATTGTACCAATTGGAGTGTTACTTACTACAGAATAGAACACTGCAACGAATTGTTGCGCAATTAAGATACAAATCGATATTGATCACAATCGATCGGCCCTAACGTGGCGAAGTATACATATCTGCTCTGGTATAACATTCTTCAGTATTATCAGTAACATCATACCAACGTACATCTCGAGCTTATTCCTAGGTGCCACTTCAGTACGCGTAGGTCTCTGATATCACAACCCTTAACGCAATCATGGGAAGTTGCGGATGGACGGATTCACCGAAAGACCGACCAGTTAAAGGATGCTTAACAAAGCAAAGCACCGAATGATTGCTCATGTATAAGAAGATATGTAATTTGTTGAAATGATGAAGCCTCATGAAAGAATCTGCGTGAACTCGCAGGGAGAATTGAGAACTTCAACGAAATTCATGTACACACCCAAATTATGCGATGGGGTTCAGGGTCCACGTTTCTTGGATTGTCCTTTCCCAGTGATCAGAACCATCTCAGAGGAATGTTTGATTGTTAGCCCGCTGCCGCAAACGGTTGTGTTCGGCACTTTAGGATTCATTTCACCCAGGAGGCTCACATGGCTCACATATGTATACGCTATACCAAGCGAAGAATTCACTTCCATCAGCAAGCCTCTCATCACGAAAGTCCCAGGAATGAACACTACCATCTGACGACAACGCTCTGATCTTCTTCTTCTTCTCTCTGGCGTTGATGTCAGCCGTCTCCGTTTCACTCTATTTATGGTATCTTCTGCCATCACATTAGCTTCGGCGAGGTCCTTCTTGATCAGGTCCCACCATCTCTTCTTTGGAGCTCCTCGAGGTCGCTTACCTTGAGCCTCGAACTCCATTGCCTTTCCTACAGGATGGTTTTGTGGCCTTCTTAGTACATGCCCGAACCAACACAGGCGCTGCTCTCTCATCTTCAGTTGAACTGGGGCTGTTTGCATTGCCGTCGTGACGTCTTTATTTCTGATCCGATCCAGTCGCGTCCAGCCGCAGGCCCACCTGAGGATTCTCATTTCAGCGGAGCGGATCTGTCCTTCATATGTTTTACTTAACACTCGCCGCTGTAGAGCATTATGGGCCTTGTTACTGTCTGATGCACCCTTCCTTTGAGAGTCCTGGAGCACCGACGGTCGTGAAGGATACCGTTGGACTCTCTCCACTTCATCGAAGCCGCATTTACTCGGGATTTCACAGCCTGGTCCACGCTACCATCAGCGGCCAGATCACTTCGGGTCCATTCTTTGGCAGCATTTTCTCCCATTTCTGAAACTTCTCCTGAAGTCCTTCCTTGCTCTCCGCTGTCATCAACGTAGAGGATGGTCTTCGGTGGTCCATCCATGAGTTCTTCTGTGATGACGTCCATAGTGAGCAGGAAGAGGAAAGGGCTCAGGCTGATACCAGATGTATCGCAGTGATATATATGCTCCGGTTTGGCCTGTGGAGTTCGACTTGGTGAACCATCGCGCATGTCCTTGACTAGAGAGACCATGTGTTCTGGAACGTTTCGTTCTCGGAGCGCTCCCCACGGGACTTGTCGCGGGAGGCTGTCCACTGCCTCCTCCAGACCATGAAGGCTAGGTACCAGGGACTACGCTTTTCTCCATGACTTGTCCAGCTATGAAGATTGCATTCGTTGTAGGCCTTTTAGGCATGAGGCCGCACTGCTCTTGCGAGATTGAGAGAAATTCTCTCATTCTTGAGTTGACCACCGGCACGTACAGTTTCATCGTTTGAGCAGTCAACGTGATCCCCCCGTTGTTCGAACACTCCATCGCGTCCCCTTCTGATTGAAGATGTGAAAGATAGTACTGTTCCTCCACTCATCTGGAATTCTTGCCTTAGCGGTCCCAGTGTTCATGAATGTGAGCCACTTTATCCCGCACTTCCGGAGCGCCTTCCATGCCTCGATCGGTACCCCATCTGATCCAGTTGCCTTTCCAACCTTCATCTTTCCCATCGCTCTACGCACCTCATCCTCTGTTCAGAGAGTTTGGTGGGGCCAGCCATTGCCTCTAAGAGGGCTCTCCTTGCGGCCGAACTTTTCGTTAAGGCGCCTGTTGAAATATTCATTCCACCTACGCATGAACTCGCCAGGCTTTCTTAGGATGGCACCCTCGCTGTTCATTACGGACTTAACTCCCCCGACGTCTTGAGTAGCCCGGTGACGCGCTTTCGCCGAGCTCAAGCCGAAATTCTCTTATTCTCGACTGCCAAACTTCTCGTACAAGCCCTCCATTTCAGTGTTCTTTTCTTCGCTACAGCAGCCTCGGCGTTAGAAGCTCTGTAGGCAGCTAGGTTCTCCTGAGCTCATGCCCTTTGCTAGCATTTGTGGGCCGATTTCTCTTGCCTCTTAACTCGTTGGACTTCATCATTCCATAACCATGCTTCCTTGTGCCCTTGGAAACCAGCTCGAGGTTTTCCCAGCGTTTCCTTTGCACATCGCAGGATGACTTTACAGCGTTGCTCCAGGTCCTTCGGGATATGGGAATCCAGCTTCCAGTACCTTCTCTTGAAGGTGTTCTCTTACCTTGCCTACCTTGAGGCAGAACCTTGATATTCTCTACAGTTTTGAGTGACGATCTTCTTACCAGCAGATGATATATTTTTGTTTCTTATTGTCCACTGCTGTAGGTGACGTTCTGAGACTTTTCTTCCGCGAAGAAGGTGCTCAAGNCGATTTCTCTTGCCTCTTAACTCGTTGGATTTCATCATTCCATAACCATGCTTCCTTGTGCCCTTGGAAACCAGCTCGAGGTTTTCCCAGCGTTTCCTTTGCACATCGCAGGATGACTTTACAGCGTTGCTCCAGTTCCTTCGGGATATGGAAATCCAGCTTCCAGTATCTTCTCTTGAAGGTGTTCTCTTACCTTGCCGCCCTTGAGGCAGAACCTTGATATTCTCTACAGTTTTGAGTGACGATCCTCTTACCAGCAGATGATATATTTCTGTTTCTTTTCGTCCACTGCTGTAGGTGACGTTCTGAGACTTTTCTTCCGCGAAGAAGGTGCTCAAGTCGTGGACTGGCCAAGGCAAGAACCTTTCCCCTTCTTCGTTTCTGACTCGTACTCCTGTACCCCCATATAACCATTCCAGTTTCCTCCTTTCACTGCCAACGTGCCCATTCAGATAACCTCCTACGGTGAGGTAGTCCACTCAGATAGAACACATCCTTTTCGTAGACGGGGCAGCCGACTTGTGGTCTGTCCTTTCCCGTGGCGTGTCTATCCTTACAGCCATGATTCGACTGCTAATCCTGTTGACGGCGGAGACAGAGTCTTTGAGGGATCCTGTCACTGCTAGACCACAAGTTTTCATTTAATGTCTACTACGTTGTAGAAGAGTTTACCCTCTTCAACTCTTCTGGCCTCAGGACTTTCTCTGAAGGTATTGGACTTGAATGTTCCTGCAATACATAAGAACAGCGACCACTCGAGATTTTCCTGTAAGCGACCCCACATTTATAGTCTTTATTCGAACTAAAATCATTGGCCGAAGTTGTTTACTCCTCATTAGCCCTCGCGTACTGTCCACAGAACTCGGGTCATATGCGCCTTTTCCGAGTGACATCCTAGCTTTCAGCGATATTTTCGGAACTGCGGACATGTTTGTTGTGACTAGGTTTCTCCATCAGCAGGCCTGTCAACCTGGACCTGACTCTGGTTGCGACACCAATTTTGCAGTTTTTGCAAGCCATGGAGCTCCCTCGCCAGGGATTGAACTAGCATACCCTCTAGGTGCAGACGTGAGTCTACACTCTCATCCACTCGGCTATTCCTGCCCCTGAAAACAACGCTCTAGCAGAATTTCCACAGTAATATAGGAGAGGGCTCACTTTTAGAAAATACTTACTTACTTAGATACTTAGACGACCCGACCATCAGCACGGCCTTGCGCGGGTCCCAACTTCTTTCCCATTGTTCTTCTCGATCTTGAGCTTTGGTTGTCCAGTGCGTACTCACCCTAAAGGACTCCGGATCATAGACGTTGTGCCCATCGTTAAGGAGGACGGCCATGTGGCCACTTCTTATCTCGCGGGTACCATCGCATAGTGGCCGAGCTCCATCGTCCATCCTCTCTTCTCATTAGGTGTCCGGCCAGTCTGTGATTCGCTTCGTCGACGTGAACTAGAAGGTCTTTAACTTTCGACATTGCTCTGGCGTCGGAATTATGAAATTTGAGTTCCCGTTGCCGGCTCGGCGTTAGACTCAGATGACGACGCTTAATCGAAGCTTGGGTGGACATTAAATGTCTTTATAGTGTTTTCGTCAGAACCCAGGTTTCTCCCGCGCAGCTGAGCGCAGGCAACACCTTTA